TGTATATATATATAGAGAGAGAGACAGACAGACAGACAGACAGACAGACAGACAGACAGACAGACACACATATATATATAAAGAGAGAGAGAAAGAGACAGACAGGCAGACAGATAGAAAGATAGACAGACAAACAGACAGATAATATAAAATCTTAAGACTAAACGACTAAACGACGATGGACCATTGTTGGGTTTTTTAAATCAATGCCTTCCTATTCGTTAAGGTGGGATCTTTTCAACACTTACAATTTCCAGAGGCTACCCCCAGCTTCCATTGACCTCGATAGTACCATTTCATAACTTAACTGATAATTAAGGGATAATTCAGTCATTCCGCTTTCTTTAAACCAAGATTCCACTTTCACTTTCTCCAACTTGCTAGAGGTGAGGCCAGGACCCCAGCTGGCCACCCCTAAAGCCTCCACCCTGGCAGGCACACAATTGGGGTGTAGCGAATCACAGCCCAAATATGCAAAATGGTCTATGACACCCCTGCCCCATCAGCCCAATGGGAGGGTGGAGGTGGTCACTCGCGTGGGAGGGGGGGTCACAGTTACTCTCCATGTGTTGGAGGACGAAAGAGCAGGTGGTGGATCTGTGCGCCTGGACACAAGAGGAGGTGAGCACATAGGGACCGGTGATGGAATAAGCCCGGTGCGGTTGCTAGAATGATGGTCTCGGACTCAGTTGAACCTGAGTTTGAATCTTTAAAACTCACCGGGGAAAGGCACTAGTTAGACGACTCCTTAAATCTTTCACTTACCTTGAAAACTTACCTATTAGGGTCACCATAAATTAAATGCCATTTCATGGGAAGTCATATAACGGGGTAGCCACCTTAGGGGCCCCTTTCAGTTGGGAGGCTGATTCGGTCAGTGTCCGCAGCTTTATTTTTTACACATGGGCTGAAATCCTGTTGGGTAGCTGTGCAACTCCGCATGCAACAGATAATGATTTCGGAGCTTTCTTAATCTACGGCCATTCTCTGCTAAAACGTACGCATTGTGCATAACTGACCAACAGGGTTCCAGCCGTCCCATCCATGTTCAGGGAAACGGCTAGCGGGCTTCCTAAAGGAGGGCCCCAATTCCCTGGGAAACTTTTGGAATATTTCTCATCTCCTGGAGAGATTTGGCAAGATGGTCCATCAATGGGGTGAAGACCTTCCAGTCCTCCTTTGGTCTCCTTGGGGTTCCCTGATCCAGAGGACCATGTCGTTGGCTGTGTGATCACCATGCTGAACTGAATTGCTGGGTAGCTTGGTGGTTGAGGCCTCTGTCTCCGGAGCCAGAGGTTGGGTGTTCGATTCCCCCACTGGGTCTACTTGAAAAGGGGTGGACTTGATGACCCATAGCGCCCCTTCCCGTTCTGCTGTCCTAAGATGATGATGCTTCTGTTGTCTTCCCTCGGAATAATTTATAGTACAGCATTACGAACCGGGACTAAGTTCGGAGCGGAAAGATGGATTCACTGCTGGACAGATATGAAGATATTATGGGAGACGAACCCAAACCTCTGCATCAATACATACGGGAGGGTATGTCCCTTGCGATCTAGCTCCGCCTTTGGCTAGAATGAGCTTCGGAATGCGCAATCATCCTAGTTGTATGGCACTGGCTCACGGGAAGGCAGAAAATGTTTTCTCTCCTTTCTCATGTTATTCTTCCAGCATGAAACATTTTAAATACGATGCGCTGGAGACATCTGATGAAGGAACAAAGCACTGCGGTCTCTCAGCTTGCCAGTTCCAAAATAAAACAGGCAAGCGCAAGTTATCAGAGAGCAAAACTCTATTGCCCTGTTAGAGTAGCTCCACCGGCTGCCGGTCTGCTTCTGGGCACAATTTGGAGTGCTGATTCTAACCTAAAAAGCCCTAAATGGCTAGGATCCAAACGATCTCAAAGACTGTGTCTCCCTCTATGAGCCTGCCTGGGCTTTAAGATCATCAGAAGAAGCTTGCCTCTTGGTCCCACCACCTTCAGGGCTGCATTTGGTAGGGACCCGGGAGAGGGCCTTATCTGTGGCTGCTCCCAGACTGTGGAACTGCCTCCCACTAGAGACCCATCTGGCCCCATCTTGGCTGTCCTTTCTCAAGGCAGGCAAAGACCTTTCTCTTCAGGCAGGCTTCCCCATGAGTGGGGTTTTTCAAATGGATTGTTGTTGTACTTTACTGCTTTGAATGTGTTTCAATGTTGCTTTTTTTTTTAGCATGGCACTTGTTTGAGCCTATGTAATATTTGTATATTTACTATTTTTAGCTTTAGTACCATCTTTTAATGATGTAATGGACCCTTTTTAAGAAGAAGGGTGGATAAAAGTAGATAGATGGATAGATGGATCGATGGATCGATGGATCGATGGATAGATGGATAGATGGATAGATGGATAGATAGATAGATAGATAGATAGATA